CGAATTGCCTCTACCTTGTCCAGACCCACATTTACCTTCTCCCTTCAAAAAAAAGAGATGGACCTGAGGTTAAACCTTTCTCTAGACCCAGTTTGGGCTAAGTTGAACCTGGAGGATGACTGTGAAGAGAACCTGTTTCTTAGATATCTGAGAGGGACTCTCAAGGGACAGGGTTGACAATGACAGTGGTTGCTATTACTGCTCTTGAGTGTGAGAGTTAATCTACTGCTACCCCCCACTCCATGGCTTGAGGACTCCGCAGCCACAGGGGACTCTGAAGTCATTTGTTTAGAAGTAGATCTTAGATCTTGGAATATACAAAGTTCATATGAATGTTTGCTTAAGAACAATTTGTTTAATGGGAACCCTCAACTGCTTCATGCAAAAAAAGTAGGGGGCTGCTCAGTAGGTGGGCCTGGCTCTGACAAGTCCTGTGGAGAACTGCAGTGATCTTGGTTTAACTCATGACATCCCAAGCTTATTTTTTGCCATAGAACCTCCTTCCCCCACCCTGCTTAGCACCTGTTACTCTCACGGAACACTTGAGGCACTTGCCATGATTCTCTGAAAATCAGTCGTTTCCATCCTTCTGGTCATTCTCTAGCCACAGGATTGTTTATATGCAAAGGACTTTTCACTGGCAATTTGATGGAGTGATAACCCCAAACACTCTTTCCTTCAAAAAGGACAATATAGGTCTGAGGGCGCAGCTCAAGTGGTAGTGTGCCTTCCAACAAGCACGAGGCTTTCAGAGTTCAAACCCAACCAGCACCAAAAAAAAAAAAAAAAAAGGAAAACATAAAACTACTCTAAGACTAAGATTTGTCCCACCCAAACATTTCAGGAAGGTTCTAGCTGCAGCGGTAGCAGTCTTTAAATTAATTAATTTTTCTGGACTGGGAATTGAACCCAGAGCCTCAGGCTTGCTAAGCATGCCACTTGAGCTACATTCTTAGCCCTTTGGTTTTTACTTTGTTCTGGTCTCCCTAATGTTGCCCAGGCTGGCCTTGAACTCACGATCCTCCTGCCTTTGCCTACAGAGTAGCTGGGATTATAGGCATGTACCACCATGCCCGGCTTTATAGCTGTAAGAGTTTCTGTTACTTTACAGTGGGGCAGTTTGCCAGGGATGAGAGAATCTTGGACTTAATCATAGGCTGTTCCCAGGTCCCTAACCTGATGGGGAGAGGTGACTCTGTCTTCATAATTAACCCCTGCCTACTAGTTTAACCAGGATCAACACAGTGTCTTGGGGTTACTCTGGTCTCTAAGGACTGATTTTTAAAGAGTATGTACTTCCATTTTCCTTCAGGATAGTAAATACTTTCTGGCTGAGACGATTAAGATATAAAACATTTTCGACTCATCTGACATGATGGAGAATTTGATCCACAGAGAACTATTAACAAAAAAGCTGCATTAGTAGCTGTTTTTTTTTTTTCTTTAAAGTTTTTCTTCTGAATCAGCCAAGAATGCAAGGTGTGGGGGAGCTAAGTGCCGTGTTGACTGCATGGCACGCTGGAGAGCGTGGGCTCGGAGACTGGAGAAGCGGATGTGCTCTGGAGAGGGTGTGGGATGGGGAGCAGCTGTCTATCATCTGCTCTTTGTTCAAGGAAAGCCTTGGCAGCGGGTTCAGCTCCCCCACTTCCTCCTGGGATGCTCGATCTGGGCGTCTTCACTCTTGTTCCTGCCGTATACACTCTCAGCAACCTCCTCACCTATGCTGTCGTCTATGGCTGTGCTGTGGTATTTACACCACCTGCAGCTGCTCTACCTTCGAAGCACTTTTGGGACACCCTCCCCTCCTGATCATGCTGGCCCTCAGCAGGACCTCCGTTCACCTGGGCCTCACCCTTCTTCTGTGCCCATTTAGATCGTGTTTAGATCAGAACCCACACGAGCTATCATTTCAAGCGCTCTCTTACCCATATCTACTTCTGAACTTGTGGGACCACAACCACACATTAATAAAGATAATTTAAGCCAGGTGCAACGGTTCAAGCCTGTTATCCTAGCTACTAGGGAAGCAGCGATCAGGAAGACCAAGGTTTGAAGTCAGCCTCATGAAAAATTGGTGAGCCTCCATCTCAACCTTTGGCTGGGCACTGTGGTGAGTGCCTGTCATTTCAGTTATGCAGAGGAGCACAAGGTCCAGGCTGGCCAGGGCATAAAGAGAGACCCTGTCTCAAAAATAACCAAAGCAAAAGGACTGGCAGAGTCATTGCCAGACAAGGGCTTTACACCTGAGTCACACCCTCAGTTCTTTTATCTTCTTTTTTTTTCTCTCTCTCTTTTTTCACATAGGGTCTCACCCTAACTTTCCCTGAGGGCTGGCCTCAGCCGACGGTCCTCCTATCTACATCTCCCAAGTAGCTGGGATTACAGCTTGTTTGTTCAGACAGGGTCTTGCTAACTTTTTGCCCAGGATGGCCTCAAACCTCCATCCTCCTTATCTCCTGAGTAGCTGGTATTACAGATGTGTACCACCAAGCCCAGAGTGACTCCTTTCATTTAGTAATAAGAATTTAAAGTTCTTCCATGTCTTTTTGTGGTTTGATAGCTCATTTAATTTTAGCACTGGATGTAGGCCTAGGTTTTGGAAGGTGGAATTGGACTGAATCTAACACAAGTTTTACTTAGGAAGTATTTTCTTTGTACCAACATAGCGTTAGGACTGATGTACCCACAGATGGGGGCTCCCCATCCCTCAGAGTGCAGAGGGCCTCAATGAGCTACCATTAGTCAGTTCTGTGCATTGAGCTATAAGCTTTTGCCTACAGAGTCCCTTTCTCAGAACAGGTGTGGAGGCAGGGTGTTCAGGCCATCGCACCCTGTGTTGCTATAAATGGTTCCACAAAGTTCCAGTTCTATTTAGTGGGGGATAGACTAGGTGACACAATGAAGAAAAGCAATGATCCAACACAAAGTTTCTTTCTCATGTGAGGGTCTGTGAAGCGGGGGGCTCTTCAGTCCAGGAATCTGGGACCCAGGCCCCCTCTGTCTCATGTCTCCATCCTCCCTGAAGCTAGATAAAGGATATGGTGATTTTTGGTTGAACTATGAACTTTAAGCCAAAGTCAAACTCTGAGAATGACTTTGATGTTGTAGTCAACTGGTCCCTGCTGAGGGACCCTGACAGGGTGATGACAGGGTGATGGTCAGGAAAGTTTTAATGAGGGGTCTGAAGAGATCTAAGTAGAGGGACCAGCTGGGGACACTTTGGGGTGGGACTGCTTGAGAGTGGCCTCTGGGTACCTAGAGGCAGAGTATGGCTCATCACTGGGTTCTGAGCCCTCATAAAGGAGGCCAGAACTGTAGGTACTTGTCACTCAATCAGAGCTTGCCTGGGGTCCCTGCTGGGGGACACCGACCAGAAGCCCAGGACCTGGGAGGCCTCAGTCTGGCCTCTCTTGTGCCTGGCTGGGTGGGAGCAAGACGAACTCACACTGATGGCCACTCCTTTTGCAGCTCATGTAAGACTGCTTCTCCAAGTGAGGTAGCGTCCAGTGGTTTTCAAGGGTGAAAATGAGCCCAGGCCTAGGTTAAGCATGCCAGTGGGTTTTTGAAGCCTTGTTTAGAACATTCTAGATGAGCAAACAAGGCAACAGCAGGCAAGATGTCTCAGTCCCTTTGACTGTAATTTCTGGGAAGCCTGGGAGTGGTGCCTTTTGCCAAGAACTATGTTTCTGAGAGGATTTTGAAACCTGAGCGTCAGTAACATAGGCACAGGTCATCTGTGTGGGAATCCGGGACTTCTGAAAGTACCCTTCCTTTCCTAACACCTCCCTCTCAGAGGCCAAGGCTGCCAAGCGCGTCCCACACACACCTCAGCAGAAAGTCCCTGGCTGTGCTCCCGGTAGCCTTGTCGTTGACCTCATGAGGTATAAGAGAGAGGAAGAGAATCTCCATTTTGCATGAACCTTCCTTCCTTCTTTCTGAGAACCACCCTGGGCCCTCTGGACTGCCCAGACATCTTCTGAGCACGTCAGAATTGAGGCCTATCCTCCATCTTCCTTAAGAACTAACCAAGGAGGCCAAGATTGGGCACCTATTCTAGATTCCTGTGGCAGTTGCAACCAATTTCAAAAACTTGGGTGACTGAGCACATCAGTTCATTCTCTCTCGGTTCTAGAGGCCAGAAGTCTGAAATCAAGGTGGCAGCAGGGCTGAGTTTCTCTCTCTGAAGGCTCTGAGGAGGGATCCTCCTTGCCTCTTCCAGCTTCTGGTGGTGGCTGGCCATCTTTAGCTTTTTCTGATTTGCTGCTGCATTCCCCTAGTCTTTACCCAGCTGTCTTCCTTCTGGGTATCTTCTCTTATAGGGACATCAGGCATATAGTACGAAGTCCTCTTACTCCAGTATGACCTTATTTTAACTCATTAGTCTGCAATGATCCAATTTCCTAAGCAGGTTGTGTTCTAAGGTTCCTGGTGGACACACTAGTCAATCTATAACAAAGGCCACAAATACCTTCCTCCTGTCCCCTGACCTTCTTCCTAGCAGGCCCCACACAGAGCAGAGAGCCTTGCCTGCCTTTCCTCTCCATGGTAGACAGGCCAGGAGTGGTTTTCTAAAGTAGAACTGCATCCTCCACACTCCAGGAAGGCCTGGAAAAGAGAGAACGCAAGGCTCCCTCAGGACAGGCGGCCACATGCCTGGGGACACCCACTCAGCATATTTTCCTGCTTTGTAGAGGTGCTTCCAGACTCCATGGCTCCTGGCCAATCCTTTAGTGCTTCCAGAAGGGAAAAGAGCCCTCCTCGAGTCACAGTGGGCCACCCCAGATCAAGGTTTCTGGACCTGGCATGAAAGAGGGATCTGCTCCTGCAGCCCCAATGTGGCCTCATTTGGTGACTTCACCTCCAGAGCTGCTATCAAGGCTGCAATCCAAGTCTTCCTGACCAGCAGCCCGGCCCCAAGAGAACCAATGTTCTCCTGCTCCATAACCTAGGAAGCAGTGGTGGGTTCCTGGGCCTCCTATAACTGGCTGAATATTTTCCAGGTTACCTAACCAAACTCCTGCAAAACCACACCGCCTATGCCTGTGATGGGGACCACTTGAATCTCCAGTGCCCTCGGCATTCTACGATAAGTGTCCAATCGGCATTTTATGGGCAAGATTACCAAATGTGTAGTTCCCAGCAACCTGCCTCCCAGAGGGAAGACAGCTTAACCTGCGTGGCACCCACCACCCTGCAGGTATTGCCTTTTGTAGATGTGTTAAGATGATAAAAATGCTTTCATCTCTCTCTCTCTCTCCCCATATATTTGTTATATAGTTCACTCAAAGCAAACCTGATCTATGAAATTCATGATTCATATACATCACCAGAGCTACAGGTGAGCTGTTTTTACTAAAGAAGTCCAAATAGAATCCCTACCCAATGGAGAACTCCCTTAGTACACTCGCAGTGTGAATTTACTCATAACACACTGCCTTACTGCAGTGAAGTGGAGCACAGCCAAGTTGGGCTTCAGCCCCAGGCCCACGTCTCCCATAAACTCCCAGAGGAAAGGGATTCTTTGGTGAAAACCACGTGGATCTCCAGGAAATAGACATGGTCATTTTGAGCTTCTTAGAGAGTGGACCACAGTGAGAGAAATGTTGACAACGGTCTTGTTTTTTATGGTTTGCTTCCCCACTTGTAGGCCACCACATTTTCCTTGTTTGGAGCTATTTTGACCAGCTTCTGCTGAATTTTCCCTTCTAGATAGTACTAGGAATTGAGAGAAGGGATCTTAAGTCATTCTTTTTGTTTGTTTGTTTTGGGGGAGGGCTATTTGGAGAAAGATTTGTTACAGGTGGGGGTCAAACCATTTCAACTATGGCTTTACACTATTTATGGATTTCAATTATTGAGGCAACTTCTATTCCACCATCCCTGACCTTTCAACATTGGTAACTAGTTGATCAAGATAACTGAGCCATTGGCCTTGGATTTATTTTTTAATGCCTCCAGGTTCCATATGTAAACATTAGAGGCAGGGTGTTTAGAGGAGGCGGCAAGTTAGAAGTTGGCTAGACTTTGTCAGCCATAGGAAAGTAGATTCACTAGGAAGACTAAGGAAAGATAGAATTAGCTCTGGCGCTGTGTCATTCTTAATGTCCAAAGAGGACATCAAAACTAATGTATTGATATAAAGATTTTTCTATTTCTCACACCATTTATTGCTTCCATCTCAAGAATGGTAGAAGCCGGGTACCAGTGGCTCACGCCTATAATCCTAGCTATTCAGGAGGCAGCGATCAGGAGGCTTGAGGTTTGAAGCCAGCCTGGGCAAATAGTTTGTGAGACCCTATCTCAAAAATACATAAAGGGCCAGTGGAATGGCTCAAGGTGTAGTCACTGAGTTCAAGCCCCGGTACAGCAAAAAAAAAAAAGAGTGGTTGTATCTGGATAGTCATGTGATTGATAAAAACAACCCCACTGAGTTGCTAGAAAGAATGTGTCTGAATGAGTTTCCTTGACATGGTTCCCGTACGCTGATGAGTGACATGTTTCTTGTGGGATTACGTGCCCCAATCCCCTCTCCCCCTCTGGATCCATAGCCCTGTTGGCTTGTCCCCATCCCTTCCCCAACTGCCCTGCCCACCCATCCCAAGGGCCCAGACTGCCTGCTGCCCTTAGTTGAATGAAAAGAGAGTTTGGGCCAGTGCCCAAAGGACGGAAATGCCTACTTTGTGAAAGTCTGAACTCCTGGCACGCAGGAGTCCCTACCTCAGCCAGTTACCCCTGAGGGCAGAGGATGTTCCATTAGGCCGACAAGTTAGCGTTTGTGTACACAGTTCTGGTGTTGCTCATGGCTTTGTTATCCAGAAACATCCCCTTGCACTTACATCCAAACCTTTCCTCCGTTGTGACTTTAAACTTCATGGAACCAAGGTAATGTGATTCCTCGAATCAGGTGGCTTACTGTAGAGAGAGGGCTGGCTGACTCCATACAGGTGACCACCCTGGCTCATGACTGATGTCAACAGGAAGTCCCCCTCACTGCCTTTTCCAGTTTAGACCCAGCCTGCTCCATGGTTGTAGTGGAGAATACCTCCAGGGACATCTAAGGACTGTGTCATTCTGGGAGCTAAAAGGGATTGCCCAGGCATTCTTTCTGATTGATAGGTCCACATCTGCTGGGCTCCTGAGGTGACAGGGGATAGCTGGAAGGGCCAGCATCCTTCATGGAAATATTCCATGAGCAGCTATGAGAATGTGACACGGGACAGTGTAGCAAGTGTCATAAATCTGCCCTTGATTCGGTCCTGAAATATTAAGTAGATTCTTGGGAATCTTTTTCTACTGTACTTGGAGTCCTTTAATCAGAACCAAGTTCAAGACCTCTGAGTTTATCCCAGACAGGCTTTGCTCTATTTGGAAGCCAGGACCTGAAGGAAAAACAACAAAATGCTGGACTTTACCTTGACATGGTGTAGGGTGTTCCATGAGCTTCCACTGAGCTGATTTGTTGACAAATGAGTTGGGAAAAAATCAGTAGGGGAGAGAGAGAGAGAGAGGAATTTGAGGGAAAGCTTGTAGATCAAATGCTCAACAGAGTGTCTGTGTATCCCATGAAGGAAATTTCTCCACAGGGAAGATGTGGACCCCATACCCTTAAGTTTGGTGAAAATTGGAACCAGCTTTTAAATTTTTATTTGTTTGCCAGTGTGCTGGCTCACAGGCTGGACAGAGGCTCTCCTGGGCCTGTGTGGGGCCATTTCTGATTTGTTGACAAATGGTTGGGAAAAAATCAGTAGGGAGAGAGAGAGAGAGAGGAATTTGAGGGAAAGCTTGTAGATCAAATGCTCAACAGAGTGTCTGAGTATCCCATGAAGGAAATTTCTCCACAGGGAAGATGTGGACCCCATACCCTTAAGTTTGGTGAAAATTGGAACCAGCTTTTAAATTTTTATTTGTTTGCCAGTGTGCTGGCTCACAGGCTGGACAGAGGCTCTCCTGGGGCCTGTGTGGGGCCATTTCTAAGGGTTAGGAGCCATGGCTATAATTCCTGACTCTCTGTTTTAAAGGTAAGAGCCCCTCCTTGAAGTGCCATCCAGTTGACACTCAAAGGTGGCACTGCTTTTGTCACTGTCCCTTGGAGCCTTTGCAGTGCAGCACCTTTGCCAAAAGAATCAGCCACAGCATCAGCTGTGGCTGGCTGGGGGTTGGTTGGTTCTCCAGTGAGGTCTGATCTGCTGGATAAGGTTCTCCCTTTGGGAAGGAACAAGAGAGGCAGGGAGCCAGAGGGGAGGGAAGCACCCATCATGTGCTTCCATCCCAGATATGGCCCAGGCCAGGTGGAGAGACCTCCCTTGCTCCTCAGAGCCCATAGCAGCCCACGTTCGGGGTCTAGCAGACTCTGTGTGTGGTTTACAAGCCTGTCCCTTTTCTACCTCTCCTTCTAGAAGGTGCTGGACGAATGCCAGAACCAGCGGGCCTGCCACCTCCTGGTCAATAGCCGTGTCTTTGGACCAGACCTTTGTCCAGGAAGCAGTAAATACCTCCTGGTCTCCTTTAAATGTCAACCTAGTAAGTAACATCTGAGGGGGGCAGTGTGTTTGGGGTCGGTTCCAGGGTTCATTGACACTCCATAGTGTTCAGCCAACTTTGAATCTCTTTTTAAATAGGAACATTGTGGGGGAGTGGGGAATCAGAGTGTGATTGGAGAGAGACAGACAGACAGATGGGAAGACAGAGAGAGATAGAGAACACACGTGCACGTATGTTTTTACAAATCCATGAACTGAAAAATCTTTCCTACATGTAAAACTCAATTGCACGGTTGTTGAAAACAGCTGGATGGGGAGCAATGGCAATTATCTTTCTTCAAAACGAGGAATGGATTCTGCTTTTTATGGGGCTTGATTTTCCTTGAGGACCACAGCACAGTTGCCACCAGAACCCATGGCCTCAGAGGGGCTCATTAGCCTTGTTCGACCCCATGGAGAGTGAGGCCGCTGGAGCAACCTCTCCTAAGTTCATCCTTGGATTTTCCCCAGTGACCTTTGCCATGTCTAGTGCACCCTGGTTTTGTGATTGACCTCTCACCAAAAGTAATCTCTTGTCCATGAGTGAGTCACACATCCAGGCATAGAGGGTCTGCCCAAGAGAAACCCAAGGGAACTACAGTGTAAGACAGTAGTAACCTTGTTGAAATGATAGCAACACAGCTGGGGTGTGGTCCAAGTGATACAGCACTATGTGAGAGGCACTGGGTTCAATTCCCCCCGAAAAGCACAGTAGACCCCGGGTATCTGTGGGCATCTGGTTCCAAGGAGGCCACTGTTGAGAAAAAGCACGCGTGCTCAGGATGGATAGAGTCCAATGCAACACTGCAGATGTTGGATTCATTGTCCCATATAACGCTGCCCAGTTCCACCAAAGGCATGTTGTCTTTCAACACAGCTCACATTTTCACTTTATCACTTCAGTGAAGCACATTACTTGCCTTTTGGGGCTTGGGAGGATTACCATAATTTTACCTTGCTTTTGGGGCACCATTTGCTCTTTGAGAGGCTGATTTTTCCAAAATGAAAGGCAGGGAAACACTCAGCAGATCAAATGATTTAAATACAACTGGCCATAATAAATGACTGAGAGCTTCCTCGTATCAGCTGAGCTGTGTGAAGTATGCATGGGAATTTAAAACTTTTATTTTTGAAATTTCTTTTATTTATGTATTTGCTGTGTTTGGTCAAAACTGCATGTAAGAAATCCATGAATAAAGTGGACTTACCGTAGTCAAAAAGCAACTGAAGTTGGTTATTGGATAAATTATATCTAACAAGTCATTCCGTGGTTGGACTAGTAAGAAATTTAACCAGGGCTGGGTGCGGTGACTCATGCCTGTAATCCAGCTACACAAGAAGCAGAGATAGGAGGATTGAGAGTTCCAGGCCAGCCCTGGCAAAATTAGCGAGACCCTATCTCAAAACAAAATACAAACTTAAGTGCTGGGAGTGTGGCTCAGGTGGTGGAGTGTTTACCTAGCGTGTGCTGGACTACATCCTGTGTTCAATCCCCGGTATAGCCAAAAAGAAAGGACATGAACACTGTTTAACCAAAATGTAAGAAGTGGTAGTTTTACACCACCTTTCCTACTTTTCACATTTTGTTCTCTGTTGGTTCCTTCTCGGGAGCCCAGCATTCCTCTATACACTGGTGGCCTAAGCACTGGACGTGGAGAGACACTGGGCAGCTGTGGGCCCTGGTCTCTATGGCACATCTGGGGAGAAGTCCTGGATCCTCTCAGCAAATATCCAGACCTCTCCCCTCTCCCCATCCTCCCCTGCTAGGGCCCAGATACCTTAGAGCTGCCACTGAAGTGCTGGCCCAGTACCGTGCCTGCAAACACACTCACGCAGTCACTCACAGACACCTCATCACACACATGCCACCACACTCTTGTACCGCATTGCACACACTCACAAATGCCCACACACGCCACCACACACCTTCACTTGCACACGCACACGCACATAGTCATGCATACTTACACACAATCCCATGTTCACACAATCACAAACACCCAAGAATGGACCAGAACATTTCAGAACAGCTGAACCTCCCTTTGTGAGTTCCCAGGTACCCCTGCAACTCCTGCCTCAGTTGGCAGACCCAGGAAAATCACCCCAAGATGTCTGTGCTCTTTGTGGCCCTCCTGCAGCTGGCTGAATCTCAAAAACGTGACACCCTTGACTGTGTCGTGACTGCCATTACCTTTGCGTTCTTTTTCCTTTTTCTCTCCCAGTTCCCTCCTTTCCACAGTGAAAACAAATACCACTTGAAAAGCAGCACTTGTTCAAAATGTTAACAGAAAATCTAGGAGGTGGGAATATCTTGGTATATTGTGATGTTCTTTCACCTTCTCTTATTTGAAATTTAAAAATTTTTTATGGTAAAATGTTGGGAAAAGCCAACCTCTTTGAGAAGTCAAATGGCCCTTGTAAAATTGGCAGACTATTGTGTATTAATCTGTTTTCTGTTACTATAATGAAATACCTAAGGCTGGGTAAGCTATAGAGAAAAGAGGTTTATTTTTGCTCCGAGTTCCGGTCCCAGATCTAGGGTCTACGTCTGGTGGTGGCCTTCCTGTTGGCAAAGTCCTGAGGTAGCACAGGGCATTGCATGGACGGAGATAGGGAGCATGTGTGTCTCCATCTCACTCTCTCCCACCCCACCTCTCAAAGGCCCCACCTCTCAACAACACAGTTGGATTAAGGTTTCATCCTCTTAGTATTTTTGCAGAGGGGCTTAGATCCCAGTGTGAATTTTAGAGGGGACAAACCATAGCACTTGTGTACTTCAGGGCCAGGCCACCATTACACCATGTGCAATTTCGTCTGTTTATAATTTCACTCAGCAAACATTTATTAAGCACCTAATGTATTGGATAAGAAATTCACACCCCTGAGAGGCTTCCTGAGTGATGGGTGTATCTTGGGGCCTCCCACACTCCTTCCAGGGTACTTTTTTATGGTTTTTTTTTTTTTTTTTTTTTTTGGTGGAACTGGGGTTTGAACTCAGGGCTTTGCACTTACAAAGCAGACACTCTACTGCTTGAGCCACACCTCCAGTCCTCCAGGGCACTTTTTAAACTTTTTTTACTCACAAGCATTTTCTGAGATTTCACATAGCTGGTTCAGGCTAAAGAACCCTTTTCCAAGGTGATCTTCTATGTCCAAGATCCACATAGATCTATTGGAGAGCCCATCTTCAAGAGAGAGAGAGACCCTGCCAGCAGACTATCTTATTTTCTTCACAGCAATATCACCATTTGGATTCCCCTTGTTCAACTGTGACTTGCGTATTAAAATCACACACACACACACACACACACCATCAAAATGTGAGCACCAGAGCAAGGACTGTCATATACCATTGCAAACCCCCAAATAGCGGGTGTTCAATGTGCTTATAGAACCAGGTACTGTGCCGGGTCACCAGATCTTACAGTCCAGTGGGAACAGGACTGACATCCCTTGCAGAATCACAGAAATACGTGCAAGACTCCAAGTGAGGTCAGGGCTTCCACACAGAGGCTCAAGGGACAGTGCAAGTAGCTTGCAGGAGGAAATGACCTCAGAGCATTCAGCAAAGGCTTTTCTGAGCAAGTGTGATGGAGCTGAGAGCTACAGTGATGGAGGTGGAGGGCCCAGGAAGCAGAGACCATACTGGTCCTACAGCTGGAGGCCACAGGTACATAGGTACAGCCAGTTCAGGAGATGGGAGGACTGGAGCCCAGTCCAGTCCTGGAGCCCAGGGAGTGAGAGGAGCATGGGTTGGAACACTGGGCAGGAGCCAGGGCCACATGGCCAAGGAAGGGTCTTGGAGTATGTCTGTGAGCTGGCATTTGCACAGGGTGTGACGAGGTCATAGAGCCCTCTCTGGCTGTCCCAGGGAGAACAGATTGGGGCAGAGTAACCCCGTCTTTGGAAGCCTTCTTCACATCTTCCTGTGTCTCTTTCTTCTGAGGCTCTTCTCCCCATTTTCCCTATTTCCAGTCCTTGTGTGACACTTGGACAGCCCCCTGTCCTATGATGTGCAGAACCATTCTGTACAACTCTTCCCGGCTTTGCCTGTGTGCTGTGAAATCCACCACGATGGCAGCGTTGACACCAGAGAAATTGGCAAGGGCTACAGACCGGGGCGCTTGGTTGGTTTTTGTGCAGAGCTGTTTCACCAGTAAACTCATCACAACCTTCTGTCCCCTAGTGCACCTCATGTTCTTCCCCCAGTCCTTCTCATCCCTGCAAGGGATTTTGGTTCTGTGAGGCATTGGATCCAGGCAGTTCTGGATCACTATCTGTTTCCTCTTAGGGCAATCGTGTGATCTTGGGCAGTGTATGGACAATTCTGGAGTCTTTGGGGCTGTGGGGAAGACCCTAAAATCTGCAATGCGGTGTGTAAAATGCTTAGCTCAGGTCCCGCCATGGAGTTGAGCTCAGTCACTTGTAACTATGATTCCAAGAAGCGGATGGAAGTAATTCCTGCAAAAGATGTCCTCCAAGGCACTTTTTAAACTTTCTTTACTCACAAGCATTTTCTGAGATTTCACATAGCTGGTTCAGGCTAAAGAACCCTTTTCCAAGGTGGAATGGGGCAGGGACTGGTGTGGATGGAGCAGGGACTGGTGTGGTCTGCCCTAGGTGCAGGCAAAGGCCCTGCTCCATCCACTGTGCAGAGTTTAAAAGCACAGCACAAGTGACCAAATGTCTGTTTGCATTTAATTTTGCCACGCAAAATAGTTTCTGCTGGGTATTGAGTGGGGGGGGAGAGGGAGGGGGGGAGTGGATGGTAAGGGAGGGGGTGGGGGCAGGGGGGAGAAATGAACCAAGCCTTGTATGCACATATGAATAATAAAAGAAAAATGAAAAAAAAAAAACAAAAAACCCCCACCATTTTGAGAAAAAATAAATAAATAAATAAATAAAATAAATAATTGTAAAATAAAAAAAAAATAATAATAATTTCGCCATGCACCTGCACTTGTAAGCAATGCCAGAAATAACACCCTCCTGTCATGCTGC